TAGTTTACCGTATTTTTCGCTCCATAGGACGCACTTTTTCCCCTCCAAAAATGAAGGGGAAATGTGTGTGCGTCCTATGGAAGCCGAATGCAACTACGCTGAAGCCTGGAGGCGAGAGGCATCGGTGCGCCCCGACCACTCTCGCTCTCCAGGCTTCAGGAAGCTATCCGCAAGCCATGCAAGCCCGGTGGGAGTTCCCGCGGGCTCACAGGCTGCAGGCAGCAGCCTGCAGCCCCGGCGAGTGTCCAGCAGGCCTTGCGCGCCCGGCAGGAGGTCCGCCGAGCGCGCGAGGCTTGGGGCTGCAGCCTGTCGCCCCGAAGCACGGGAGCCCTCCGGAGGGCTCCCCGTGCTTCGGGCGAGTGTCTGCAGCCTTGCGCGCCCGGCGGAGGTCCCGCCCAGCGCGCAAGGGCTTGGGGCAGCAGCCTGTGCCCGAAGCACGGAGCCCTCGGAGGGCTCCGTGCTCGGCGGTGTCGCAAGCCTTGCGCGCCCGGCGGAGGTCCCGCCCGGCGCGCAAGGCTTGGAGCGGCAGCGGCCGCCCGAGGCACGGGAGCCCTCCGGAGGCTCCCGTGCTCGGCGAGTGTCTGCAAGCCTTGCGCGCCCGGCGGGAGGTCCCGCCCGGCGCGCAAGGCTTGGGGCTGCAACTTGCGCCCGAAGCACGGGAGCCCTCCGGGGGCTCCCCGTGCTCGGGCGAGTGTCTGCAGGCCTTGCGCGCCCGGCAGGAGGTCCCGCCCGGCGCGCAAGGCTGGGGCTGCGGCTTGTCGCCCGAGGCACGGGAGCCCTCCGGAGGGCTCCCCGTGCTTCGGGCGAGTGTCCCTGCAGCCTTGCGCGCCCGGCGGGAGGTCCCGCCCGGCGCGCAGGGCTTGGGGCTGCAGCTTGTCGCCGAAGCACGGGGAGCCCTCCGGAGGGCTCCCGTGCTTCGGGCGAGTGTCCTGCAAGCCTTGCGCGCCCGGCGGGAGGTCCCGCCCGGCGCGCAAGGCTTGGGGCTGCAGCTTGTCGCCCGAGCACGGGGAGCCCTCCGGAGGGCTCCCGTGCTTCGGCGAGTGTCTCGCAAGCCTTGCGCGCCCGGCGGGAGGTCCCGCCCGGCGCGCAAGGCTTGGGGCTGCAGCTTGTCGCCCGAAGCACGGGGAGCCCTCCGGAGGGCTCCCGTGCTTCGGGCGAGTGCCTGCAAGCCTTGCGCGCCCGGCAGGAGGTCCCGCCCGGCGCGCAAGGCTTGGGCTGCAGCAGTCGCCCGAGCACGGGAGCCCTCCGGAGGGCTCCCGTGCTCGGGCGAGTGCCTGCAAGCCTTGCGCGCCCGGCAGGAGGTCCCGCCCGGCGCGCAAGGCTTGGGGCTGCAGCTTGTCGCCCGAAGCACGGGGAGCCCTCCGGAGGGCTCCCGTGCTTCAGGCGAGTGTCTGCAAGCCTTGCGCGCCCGGCGGGAGGTCCCGCCCGGCGCGCAAGGCTGGGGCTGCAGCTGTCGCCCGAAGCACGGGAGCCCTCGGAGGGCTCCCGTGCTCGGGCGAGTGTCTGCAAGCCTTGCGCGCCCGGCGGGAGGTCCCGCCCGGCGCGCAGGGCTTGGGGCTGCAGCTTGTCGCCCGAAGCACGGGGAGCCCTCCGGAGGGCTCCCCGTGCTCGGCGAGTGCCTGCAAGCCTTGCGCGCCCGGCAGGAGGTCCCGCCCGGCGCGCAAGGCTTGGGGCTGCAGCTTGTCGCCCGAAGCACGGGAGCCCTCCGGAGGGCTCCCGTGCTCGAGCGAGTGTCTGCAAGCCTTGCGCGCCCGGCAGGAGGTCCCGCCCGGCGCGCAAGGCTTGGGGCTGCAGCTTGTCGCCCGAAGCACGGGGAGCCCTCCGGAGGGCTCCCCGTGCTCGGGCGAGTGTCTGCAAGCCTTGCGCGCCCGGCAGGAGGTCCCGCCCGGCGCGCAAGGCTTGGGGCTGCAGCTTGTCGCCCGAGCACGGGAGCCCTCCGGAGGGCTCCCGTGCTCGGGCGAGCTGTCTGCAAGCCTCGCGCGCGCGGCGGGAGCTCCCACCGGGCGCGCGAGGCTGGGGGGGGTGGCCTGCAGCCCGAAGCACGCGAGGCGTGGGGCGGCAGGCGGGGGGATAATTTTTTATTCATTTCCCCCCCCCCAAAACGAGGTGCGTCCTATGGACCGGTGCGTCCTATAGAACGAAAAATACGGTAATTATTTTCCTTGGGGATTGTTGTTATTACAAGCGGGGGTGTAAATCCAATTATAAATATTGTGCTATAAATATCACTTATGGTCTAGGCACAATTAATCTGATATGCCAGGGATGGTAGAACGGTGGCTTTCTGGATGTTATTGGACTACAACTTCCACTATCCTTGACACTCACCGTGCTGTCTGGGGCTGATAGGAAGTCTAACGGAAGGCCTGAGGTGTGGGTCACCAGCTCCCATCCCTGCCCTATCCAGTCTTGCTTAAGAAAAGAAGTAATGCCTCACTAGAACAGACCAATGCCCATCTTGTTCAATACTCTTTACAATAATTTAAGCATCCATAAGATGTAAGGGACATGGGTGGTGCTGTGGGTAAAACCTCAGCGCCTAGGACTTGCCGATCGCATGGTCGGCGGTTCGAATCCCCGCGGCGGGGTGAGCTCCTGTCGTTCGGTCCCAGCTCCTGCCCACCTAGCAGTTCGAAAGCACCCTTAAGTGCAAGTAGATAAATAGGTACCGCTTTATAGCGGGAAGGTAAACGGCGTTTCCGTGTGCTGCTCTGGTGCCGGTTCGCCAGAGCAGCTTCGTCACGTGGCCAGCGTGACCCAGAGAGTATCTGCGGACAGCCGCTGGCTCCCGGCCTCTAGAGTGAGATGAGTGCACAACCCTAGAGTCTGTCAAGACTGGCCCGTACTGGGCAGGGGTACCTTTACCTTTAAGATGTAAGGTGATCCTCCAGTGATCTACTGATGTCCCATTTCCCCACCTACAGAACTGTCAGGATTAATCACCACCAGCTGTGAAGCGATTGTGTAGTCTAGAATGCACCTATTACCACCCATCTGTGACCACACTTGCAAGGAAAGGGTTAGTAGTGGTAGGAAAACTTTCTTTCCAGGAATTCACTGTCCTCCATTGGCTGACCCACCCATTCAGGGGCCCCTGAGTTCCCCAAAAGTCTAGTGTAGGGTTCCTCAACCTCGGCCCTCCAGATGTCTTGAGACTACAATTCCCATCATCCCTGACCTCTGGTCCTGCTAGCTAGGGATCGCGTGGGAGTTGTCAGCCAAAAAATCTGGAGGGCCAAGGCTGAGAGAAGCCTGGTCTAGTGTAGCAGTTAGTGTTGGGCTAGGATTCAAATCCACCCTCGGTTATGAAGTTCACTGTCTGAGCTTGGACCAACCACATTTCATCTTAATCTTGGAACAACCACTACATGTTGTTCCCCGTGTTGTTCCCCGTGTTGGGGAAGGCCGCTCCCTCTTCAGGCTGATTCCACCTGGCCTAGGGGGCGGGGCCCAGACTCACCTTCGCCACAGCTTTAAGAAGCCTCACTGAGGCATTGGGACATCGCTGCTGCTGCACCGTGAGTGTTGGGGAAGGCCCAGACTCACCTTCGCCACAGCTTTAAGAAGCCTCACTGAGGCATTGGGACATCGCTGCTGCTGCACCGTGAGTGTTGGGGAAGGCCGCTCCCTCTTCAGGCTGATTCCACCTGGCCTAGGGGCGGGGCCCAGACTCACCTTCGCCACCAGCTTTAAGAAGCCTCACTGAGGCATTGGGACATCGCTGCTGCTGCACTGTGAGTGTTGGGGAAGGCCGCTCCCTCTTCAGGCTGATTCCACCAGGCCTAGGGGCGGGGCCCAGACTCACCTTCGCCACAGCTTTAAGAAGCCTCACTGAGGCATTGGGACATCGCTGCTGCTGCACCGTGAGTGTTGGGGAAGGCCGCTCCCTCTTCAGGCTGATTCCACCTGGCCTAGGGGGCGGGGCCCAGACTCACCTTCGCCACAGCTTTAAGAGGCCTCACTGAGGCATTGGGACATCGCTGCTGCTGCACCGTGAGTGTTGGGGAAGGCCGCTCCCTCTTCAGGCTGATTCCACCTAGGCCTAGGGGCGGGGCCCAGACTCACCTTCGCCACAGCTTTAAGAAGCCTCACTGAGGCATTGGGACATCGCTGCTGCTGCACCGTGAGTGTTGGGGAAGGCCGCTCCCTCTTCAGGCTGATTCCACCTGGCCTAGGGGCGGGGCCCAGACTCACCTCCGCTACAGTTTTAAGGACACTGAGTGCTGCCGCAGCAATTGTTAAAAATGTTTTTATATATTTTAAAGTATTTTAAAGGTGTTTTTACTTCTTACGTTATTGTACCACCGTGAACAGTGGTTTTTATCTATGTATTTTTATTTTGTTCTGTTTTATTGTGGTTTGGGGTGGGGATTGGTTTTGCTTAGGTAGAATTGTTTTCAGTTTGGCTTGGTTTTCTATTTTGTAAATGGAGGCTTGTATGAGGCTTGGGATTGCTACCGTGGAGGGGCGAGGGAGGTATGGTGGTGGGGGCAGATGTTATAGGCGAAGGGGATCGAGATACGGATATGCTCGTACTCCTTCCAATCTGCGCCCCATCCCGAGGGACGAGGGTAGGGTGAGCAAGGATTACTCACCTCCGTCACTGGTGTTGTGCAATGCCAGGTCTATAGGCAACAAAACCGCCACTCTGCGAGATTTCTTTACCTCGCAGGGGTTGACCTGGCTTGTGTGACGGAGACCTGGGTACGCGAAGGGGCAACAGTTACCTTACGAGAGATGGCGCCCCGGGTTTCTCCGTCCTCCACCAGTCACGGACTGTGGGCCGGGGGAGGGGTGGCATTATTAATCCGGGAAGATTGTCCTTTCAGGGCTCTACCATCGCCATCGATCCCCGGCATTGAATGTGTTGGCCTAGTGTGGGGCTCTGAGGTGAGCTTGGCTGTCTGGCTGGTGTACCGGCCACCTAGCGCACCAGCAGCCACCCTGTCAGGCCTACTGGAGGCGGTGGCCGGCTGGGCCTTGGAGTTCCCTAACCTATTGGTATTGGGGGACTTCAACATCCATGCTGATGCCACTCCCTCCTCACAGGCTCTGGACCTGGTGTCTTCCATGGCAACACTAGGGCTCTCCCAGTTTGTTTCAGGCCCCACACATCAAGCAGGCCACACGCTGGATTTGATCTTTGGCGTAGGTATAGATGTGATCATGTCTCCTTCAATTAAGGTGCCATGGTCTGATCACTACGCTCTGAAAGCCAGGATTGACTTTCCACCCCCACCCTGCTTAGGTGGCGAGCCGATTTGGGCTCGCCCGCAGAGGCTGATGGACCCTGATAGATTCCGTCAAGCCTTGCGGGACCTTGCTCCCTCTGGCGACTCATTGACTGAGCTTGTTGAGGGCTGGAATACCCAGCTCCTGGCAGCCATAGATGAGATCGCACCTAAGCGCCCTCTGCGACTCCGCAGAAACCGGGCTCCCTGGTTTACCGAGGAGCTTCGGAAAATGAAGCGGGACCTCAGACGGCTAGAGCGAGTATGGCGGGGTGCCCGTGACGGAGCCTCAAGAACATCTTATAGGGTTTTTATGAAAACCTATGAGATGGCGGTGAAGGCCGCTAAGAAGTCTTACTTCTCGGCCTCCATTGCATCCGCTAGCTCTCGCCCGGCGCAATTATTTAGTATAATTAGGTCTTTAACGTCCCTTGAAGGACAGCCAAATTTAAATAACAATCTGACACACAGCTGTGAGGCATTTGCGAGCTTTTTTGCGGAGAAGGTCCTGTTGCTCCGCCATGACCTCCCTGCCAATTTGGATACAATAAAGGAACTGGAGGCCCCCGACTGTCCTCGGGTCCAGTATTGGACCACTTTGATCGGATATCCCCAGCCGATGTGGACAGACTCCTCCGAGCTGGAAAGCCCACCACCTGTCCTCTTGACCCGTGCCCGTCTTGGCTGATTAGAGCGTGTCCAGACGAGGTGCGGGCCCCCCTGGGAGATATCATCAATTTGTCCCTTGGCACCGGGATATTTCCAGGGGAATTGAAGGAGGCAGTGGTGCGCCCGCTCTTAAAGAAAACATCATTAGATCCCTTAGATCTATCCAATTACCGCCCGGTTTCGAATCTTCCATTCCTGGGTAAGGTGATTGAGAGAGCGGTTGCTGAACAGCTTGGTAGGTTTCTGGATGAAACATCGGCTCTGGATCCATTCCAGTCTGGCTTCCGCGCTGGTCATGGGACCGAGACGGCTCTGGTCGCCCTAACAGATGATCTCCGCAGGCAGCTGGATCGAGGCGGGTCGGGGCTGCTGATTCTTCTAGACCTGTCAGCAGCCTTCGACATGGTTGATCACGAACTCCTGGACCACCGCCTTGCCGACGTGGGGATCCAGGGCACAGTCCTTCAATGGCTGCGCTCGTTTCTCTCCGGTCGGGGACAGAGGGTGGCGCTTGGGGGCATTGTCATCCCGCCACTCCTTGGTGTGTGGAGTGCCTCAGGGTGCGATACTCTCCCGATGCTTTTAACATCTTTATGCGCCCTCGCCCAGCTTGTCCGGAGTTTTGGGCTGGGTTGCCATCAGTATGCCGATGACACCCAACTCTATCTGTTGATGGATGGCCATCCTGACTCGGCCCCAGACACACTGACCAGATGTTTGGAAGCTGTGGCTGGATGGTTACGCGGAAGCCGGTTGAAGTTAAATCCTTCGAAGACAGAGGTCCTCTGGCTGGGACGGGACGATATGGGATTGTGGGGGCAACTCCCATCTCTTGCGGGGGTGCAATTAGTGCCAGCACCGTCCGTTAAGAGTTTGGGTGTAATCTTCGATACCTCCCTCTCTATGGAGGCGCAGATTACAGCTATAACAAAGGCGGCATTTTTTCATCTCCGCCAAGCTAAGCAGTTGGCCCCTTATCTCTCTCGCCCTGACCTAGCCACTGTGATCCACGCGACGGTCACCTCCAGACTGGATTATTGTAACTCGCTCTACGTGGGGCTGCCCTTGAGACTGACCCAGAAACTCCAGCGGGTGCAGAATGCCGCGGCGAGACTCCTTATGGGGTCTTCGCTGCGAGATCACATTCATCCGGTACTATACCAGCTGCACTGGCTCCCGGTGGAGTACAGGATCAGGTTTAAGGTGCTGGTTTTAACCTTTAAAGCCCTATACGGCCTAGGACCCTCGTACCTACGGGACCGCCTCTCCTGGTATGCCCCACAGAGGAACCTACGGTCTGCAAATAAAAACATCCTGAAGGTCCCAGGCCTCAGAGAGGTTAGGCTGGCCTCAACTAGAGCCAGGGCTTTCTCGGCTGCGGCTCCAATCTGGTGGAACGCTCTGTCACAAGAGACTAGGGCCCTGCGGGACCTGACATCTTTCCGCAGGGCCTGCAAGACAGAGTTGTTCCACCAGGCCTTTGGTCAGGGCCCAGCCTGACTCCCACCTCCGGCAACCTGCACAGAACTTTGCTTAACGGTTGCCATTAATTTGATTTTAATTAATTTTATAATGAAATGTTTTAGAATGTTGATTATTTGATTGTTTGATTATTTGTTTGTTGTTAGCCGCCCTGAGCCTGGCTTTTGGCTGGGGAGGGCGGGATATAAATAAAATTTATTATTATTATTATTATT